ATATATAATTTTTTTTTTTTTTTTTTTAAGGGAACTTCTGATCTCCTTATCTTAATTTCCCTTGGTAGGGAAGAGAGCTGGAACAGACTGCTCAGCATGGTTTAGAATGCATATCCTTGTTTGTTTGCATGGGACCAAAGGCTTCTATGTTAAGCTGTCACGGCTTGCACAAGCAGCAGGCATTTTAAATAAAGAGCAAATACCAGGTAGCCATATTGGTAAAGAAAGAGAGGGCAGGTGCAGTATTTAAGTCATGCACCTTCTGCAAGTACCCATCTTGTTTCAGCAGAAAAAAGGCTAACATTGGAGACAGCCCAAGAAATCATGGAAAGTCTGTGTGGTATACGGCTAGGAAACAAAATTTAAGACAGCGATTTTTAAAGAGCGTTTACCTGCCTCCGAAAACAATGACTGGGCAGTCCCTGGCATTGTACTGATGTTTCAGCTCTGTAATAAGCACCGCATAGTCAGCCAAGGCTTGTTCCACAGTGAGCAGGCCAATATTCTTCTGAATTGTTGATGAGATCCCAAATGGAAGAGACTTCCCATAATATCTCTGAGGCAAGAGGTACAAAGATTAGATAATGCTGACTATGCAACCTCAAACACCGCCACCACATTCAAACCTGAATGGGCTGGGAGGAACTGTCTGATGGCCTACATCAATTGTGAAAGCAGTTTTGGTCCTTAACAGATGAGTAGTCACAGGGCATGTTCTTATTGGACCCCTTGTTGACCATCTTAGCAGGGAAGCCAACAACTGAAACACCCAGGGACTGAATAGGCAATGTACATCCTACCCTCCCCCCTTCTATAGGCAGAAGGCTACTTGCAGGCTACAGAGGACTTATTAAGGTGGCGAACCAGAATAGAATTTCTCTCTGCACATGGCAGGTTAATGCACAATAATATGAACCTTGAACAATCATTCTTCTGCTCTGAACTTACTGCATACTCAGAACTGGGGAAAAATGCTTGCTACAGCACAAGAAAATGCAGCCAAGGTTATAGTGAATAAATTATTATTCTTACAGTGCTGTGGATGGGCATAATAAATAATTATGTAGTTCTACAGGGAAGATCTACTACAATATCTAGACTCTAGAGCAGCTGCACATTAACTTCAGGGTGTGAGATTTTTCCTCTATTTGTTCTGGGATTACTGGAGGCTAAAGCTGATAATGCCTCATAGGGAGGAAACCTGTTATTAATAAAGTTTAATAAACTACTTACATGCTCTGCAAAGATCACCAGTGCATGCTGCTGTTCTGCCAGCTCAAGGATGAACCCAGAATTCTGAGCAAATTCCCAGATGTCTCCCTCATTCCCAGTATAAAAGAACATCGGGCCAACTTCCTTGTTCCAGAATTTCTCTGTTTGAGGTTGTAATTAGGAACATGTTAAAGCAAACAAAAATGCAACAATTAAAGGATCTAAAGGTTCTGCTCTCAGTGAAGCTGATCAGGAATTCTGTAGAAGCAAAGACTATATGAGAGAGCTGGATGGGGCACTGAAAGGCGGTTTACGCGGGGGGACACAATACTGAGGAACACAGATAGTCTAGATTTAGGGATTGTCTCCCCTGTTCTAAGTAATTAATTGTGATAAATGCGCTCTACTGAGGGTAGCATATGGACTACTGTTTCCCAGTTATACCTCAAAATTCCCAGAATTGCAGAATACTGCAGGGCATTTGGAAGTTGTTTCCCCCAATAAAAATAAAAGTGCATTTACAAAGTACATTTCAGCCCATAGGAACCCTAATCATTTCTAAGCACATCTTTACTGCCCTACCATGGGTGAGTAGGGAGAAGCAGAGAAAAGCTGCTTGATGCCTTCATGTATTTGTCTGATCCTTCCTTCCTACTGTGATACAAAATTGAGCCTGGTATTATGAAGACCGTAGCAGATCAAATGTCTATATTTACCTACAATTGAAAGCAGGTTTAGTGTAGCAGGGTAAGAAGTTGTATGGTGCCAAGAGCTGCACATGTATTGCTGAGCATCTTTAGGGCCTGTTGATTTCATTGATGTTTATGGAAGAATAATATGGAAAGGGGCCATATGTTGATTGTCCCCCTCTTTCCTGCTTTCTGTCAAATTGTTAGGACGTGTCTAGACTTCAACTTTCAGTTGGCAATTGGTTAGCATTAGAACATGTTCGCCAACAGGAATACCAGCTCTAATGTACAACACTAGATTTTTACTAATTAACTTAAACATGACTAAAACTTTCCATCCCAGTAGATCCTTAAACTTGCCAAAACAATTAAATACATTAGAGACAGTTACAAAATAACTAACTTGGGGAATGGGAGTTAGATTTATTTGCAAAGGGGAATCTTCTCTTTGCATGACATATTTGAGAGAAGGCTAGGCAGGGTAGCAATCAACAGAGAAAGATCAGAAAAGGAAAGTACTGCCAAGAGGAACCATAATGAAACATAACACACTAGTAAGATTACCAGTATGATTAAAGGTTCTTTGAAGAGCCACAAAAATTGGTTATGAGACTAGATAGGAGTTGTTCTTCTTTTTAAACTTATTTTTAAGTTCAATCTTTGAACAACTTTCAACTAATCTCATCATGGAGAAAATGAGCTGATTTAGTTGTGAGAGAGACTAAAGTAAAGGCAGCTCCCGGCAAGCAACTTTCTTCCAAATCCTGATTGATAAATTGGACAAGACCCATGCAGGATAGAAGAAAGGGAAACAAAAGAACCCTCAGCACTCCCACAGACATTTTGCTAAAATGAGTCACTCTTACCAGCAAGACAAATAATTTGCAAAGCAACAAAACCACAATGCCGATTCCATTTACCTTACAATGATTATTGATCTCTACTTTAGAGCTTGGCCAGACATGGCACTAGAATCCAAAAAGTGGTGGAACACAGTTAAAGTCAGCTTTCCATTCCCTGGCATAAATTATATATATAAAACTTGTGTGCACATGTAATATACTCATACATAACTGAATGAATGTGTGGGGTGTTGGTGGCTGCTGCTGCAGTCACTTCCAAGGGAGAGAGGAGAAGAAAAAGCAGAAGCTAAGGATGTTTTTTCCTTCAGCCCCTAAGAAAATAAGATAATCAACTGAGGCTATTGGTGGCTTGAACTCAACTTCATCTCTTCCTCCCTGCCTAAAATCAGGGTCTCTACCCTTTTTCCCCAACTATTTCCCAAAAGCTCTTTGTTCTTTCCATTGTTTAACAGAATTTTTTCCCATTGAAAAACCCATTCTGAATTAAAATTCAAAACAGTGTTTGGTACAGTTATTACAGTATCTCTATTTATTAACTCAATGCTTGAAAAACATCTGGTTCAGAAGGATGTATTGCAACACAAGAGATGACTTGCTATCTAGTTTTTCAGGACATAACAAACGACACATTTGTTGACTTTTCACTGTTTTTTTTCTACGTGCAGTCCAGTGCAGTCCAAAACATTTAAGACTTTAAAGCACTGTACACAAAAAAGTTACTTAGTTTACCCCATCTCGGCTATTCATGTCGCCTGGAAGTGAACAAAGCTTGTACATGCTGGACTAGAATATGGTGCAACTCCATTCACTCCAACAGACTTTCCCCTGGTTTATATAGGACTCACTTTAGCTCTTTGTGTTTAGTAAAAGAACTTTTGGTTAAAAATAAACCAAAAAAACCCCTACTTGACTACTTTTGGAACTTATACCCCTCAGCTTTCCAGACTCTGAATTGGCTAACCTTCCAGGACACGTCTATATCGTTTAATATTTGAGCAGCCATTTGTTTTCTCTGCTGTATTTAAAGCATCAAGCTATACCAGTAAGGGCTGATGTAGAAGTTGGATATAAATAACAACACAGCAACAAAAGCCCCATGGTGAGTCTTATCTCGGTGGTCATTTTTGCTCCCCCTCTTCAGTTCTGCCATCACCAGGGATTTAGCTCTGAGCACCTCATTACCAGGAAGATCAACTGGGATGAAACCTGGAGAAGAGCAGTGTACATGATTAAGGGGCAAGACCTGATTTGTGAGGACAGATTAGAAAAGCTAAACCCATATGGCTTGATTTTTGAATCAGAAATGGGAAGGGCTTATCCTGTTTTTAAGTATTTGATGTGTGGACGCATTGAGAGGAATTATATTAATGCAGGAGGATAAGGGCTTGAAAGTTGCTTTTAAAACGCAGAAAAACATAACAGTGTGACATTAGACCATGGATGCTCAATCCCCAACCCATCAGTCCCAATCTGGCCCTGGGTACCACATCATCCAGCCTGTGGAGCTTCCCATGAGCCTGGAAACTGGGTGGCAGGGGCACAGTGGCACTGATCCTGGCGCGGAGGCAATATCAGGCCCCGATCCATCCTGTGCACCAGCCTTGCCCCACTCACATGGCTCACGGGGCCAAAAGCTTGAGCGCCCTGCATCTGAGGCTGCAGAAGACCCATGCAGGGCAGGTGAAGCCGGAATAGAAGCCCCATCCCTCGAGACGTTTGAAACTCAGACTCGGGGAACAAGCAAGGGCGCTTTTTCCGTTCCAAATTTGGTCTCTATGATGGACTTACCCTGCGACAGCAACAGGAGAACCAACACAGAAGCGCAGCTGCTGCCGCGCTCTCTCAGCCAGGCGGAAATCTGGGCGCCAATTCATGCCGGGCCCTGCCACGCATTCAAATGAAAGTAGGACACAAACCAGCTACGCAGGTCCTGCACATGGTCAAGCACTAATGTAACTAGTGAGGTGCTGCACACTGTCGAGCACTAACCAGCTCCAAGGTGCTGCACATTGTCAAGCACTAACTATAGAGCTGCTTGGTTTTTGTTTTTTTTGCTGGACAGTTGCTTCTGTTTATCATCTGAAACTCCTTTGCACGCCGGGTGCCATTTATGGAGCGGCTGCCCAGTGCCAGGCGCCCCTTCTTCCGCACGTGCGGTCGGCTGACATTTATCACGCGGCGGACCAGTCAACCGCGCCATAGCTGCGACGTGCCACGGAGATGACCCCGTGACAGCGGTATTGCCGCAAAAACATTGCCAGGCTCCCAAGGGGCCTCGCGCGCAGGCTCTGCACCTGCCTAGGGCCCGCGGGCGAAAGCCCTACCTGCGGCAAGGTATCGCTGGAAGAAGGTCCTGTTGCGGTAGGTCTGGAAGCTGAAGTGATCCAAGACCTGCTCGAAGTACCGCTCCTGAAAGCCGGGGTCGCGGGCGCTGTGGGCTGGAGGAGGCAAGGTGCGTTAGGGAACCGGTTTGCAGACAGCTTAATTCGAATTAAGCCCGGCGGGGGGCACTCACAGGGGCACCCCCGTTTCCCCTCCCCTACCCGGCGCGGGCAGGAGCAGCAGCAGCAGCGCGGGCAGGCAGGCGGGCCGCGTTCCCATGGCAACAGCGCCCCGGCGGGAGCCCCGCGCGCGCCCCGAAACCTGCCGGCTCAGGGGGAATCACATGACCCCTCCCCTGGATCATGTGACGCGGCCCCGGTCACGTGGGCAGAGCGCCATTGCTACCGAGGCGCCGCCATGTTGTGTAGCGAGGCGTGGCCCCGCCCCCGGGGAGGAGCGGGGCGGGGCTTCCCCAGCGGGAACCACAGTTTGTTTCAAAATAAAGAACTGTTTCAACCGTGACCCAGTTCTCGCTCACTGGCCTGCGACAGGGAGCGATATAACATAAATAAGAAGGCTTATTTGCATTTTTTCAGATAGTTTTTCAGTAAATATGATCATTTTGAGCTTCCAATAGGATCATTTCATATTTAAGACCTAGCAGGCTGTTCCCCCAGCACTGGCAGCCCAGGAGGCGCACACAGGCTGGGAGGAGGGGCAGCCCCTGAAGCAACATCTGGGCCTGGCGGGTGGGTCCTCTCCGCAGGGCTGGCCAGGTGTGGCAGCGACCAGCCCAGGACGCCGAGCGGGGCAGGGGATCTGGCCTGTGGTGCCCAGCCCGAACAGGGAGCAAGGGCTAGGCTGTAATGCTGCTCTGGGGTGGGGGCCTGGTGGACATGCCCCCCTGCATGCCGGGCATTGACGGCAGCACCCAGCATGCTTGGCGTGAGGATGACACGGTTCCCATCGGCCGCGACCACCTGGGCTCAGACCCTGCCAGGAGCAGGAGATCAGAGAAGCAAGATATGGTCCATGATCCCCGTTCCTTCCCATCCGCATAATGACACGACTCCTTTCAGGGATGCACATGCAAGCAAAGCAGCCCATCTCCAGAAGAGAAAGATGGATAGACGGCACTTAGCTACTATAGCGACGGGCACTGTAGTGACCCACAGAGAAAGAAATAGGAAACACCCGGTTTTCTGAATTGTACCAAGCGGCAGCACTGTGAACACATTTAGAAATGACCCTCTTCGCCTCCCTGCTTTTTTTGCTCCCCGCCTCTCCCCCCACCCCACCCACTGAAAAATCCATTTGACCTAATTGGGCCCAATTCCAGCTCTCCCCGGTCACATATAGCTGCACTGCCCTAATGTGATGGTGTTTTCGTTATGGCTTTTAGTATTTTGACACCACATAATGTTTGTGTGAGTCTGTCCTTGATTGTAGAGTTATATATAATATTATATATAATAATTCAGTCAGAGAGAGAGGTGAAGGCAGTGGATAAAATTTGCCAGCAATGTGCTGAGCTTCACAAGAGAACTGCATCACAACTGGAAAATCACAGTATTTCCTCTCTAAGCTCTAAATGCCTAAACAGTCAAACAGAACTCTTAAGACTGTAGTAGTGTCATTTTGTGACTACAAGCCAATATTACAAAGTTTGAAGAAAAACTCTTCAAACCTGCTTTTTTTTTCAGGGGGGTGGGGATGATTTTCCTCTGTTAGAGTCAAATGAATTATTTCCAGGGCACTTCCAGTCTGCCAGCTTGTGAAGCAAGAGACCCCATCAGAAGAGTCTGTCTGAGCTCTCTCATTTGAAGGTAGAATTGCTGATTATTATACAGGCTTCTAGTCCAGTTTTAAAGGATGGTCATGGCCATAAAGGATATTGTGAAAAAAGTTCTTATGGGACTACATGCACTTATTTGTCTGTAATTTGAGCAAAAAGGACAGGATAGAGGCAACAGCAGGCTTGTAAAGGAGCCCCAATGGCTCTTAGTGCTGCAGAATCAGGCAGACAATGATAGATACCCTGGATCCACCGATCTGGATTCCAAAAGGATCTCTTCAGTTTTAGGAATGGACATTTCAAGATAATTTGCCAGCCTCTGTTTGCAAGCACTGGGAATTGCATCTTATAGATTCATAGATTGTATGGCTGGAAGGGACCTCAGAAGATCATCGGGTCCAGCCTCCCGGCACCAGGCAGGAAAGACAGCTGGCGCCAGGTGACCCCAGCAAGATCCAGTTTCCTCTTAAAGATTTCCAGGGTAGGCAATTGCACCACCTCTGCTGCAATCAGTTATTCCACAGTCTGGACACCCTGACTGCGAAGAAGTTTTTCCTAATGTTGAACATGAAATGGTCTTCCAGGAGTTTGTGGCCATTACTCCTGGTTTTCCTCAAGGGTACACTGGTGAACAGATGTTCATTGAGCCCTTGATGTACTCCCCTGATGTAGCGGTAAGCTGTTACCAAGTCCCCTGTCTGCCTTCTCTTTTTCAGGCTGAAGAGTCCCAGATCCCTCAGCCTTTCCTTGTATGGCTTGCTGTGCAAGTCTCCGATCATATGGGTGGCCCTTCTCTGGACTCTCTCATGTTGTACCATGTCCTTGTTAAAGTGCAGCGCCTAGATCTGGACACAGTTCTCCAGCTGCCGTCTCACCAATGCCGACTAGAGCGGGAGAATCACTTCCTTGGTTTTGCTGGAGATACATTGATTGATGAATGCCAGGGTATTGTTTGCCCTGATGGCTACAGCATCACGGTGCTGGCTCGTGTTCATATCGCAGTCTGTTATTACCCCCAGGTCCGTTTTGTTCGTGGTGCTGGTCAGTTTGGCGTCACCAAAGCTGTAGGTGTGCAGGGGGTTGTTCGTCCCCAGATGGAGGACTTTACATTTCACAATGTTGAGCTTCATCTGGTTCTGACTCGCCCAACTTGCTAGCCTGTCTAGATCTGCCTGTATCTGTAGCCTATCATTAAGCATGACTACACTTCCCCATAACTTGGTGTTGTGAACTTGGCCAGTGAGCTCTTTACCCCCACATCCAAATCATTGATAAAGATGTTGAAAAGTACTGGACCAAGCACCAACCGCTGTGGGACACCACTGGCCACTTCTCACCAGGACGACACAGATCCATTCATTAGGCTCTCTGGGTCCTACCCTGCATCCAGCTTCATACCCACCTGACTGTCATGCAGTTAAGCCCACAATCCTCCAATTTTCTCACAAGAACATCTTCTTACAACCTAGGGATCCCCTTATCTAAGCTCCTTCTATCCTTTTATTTCATATTTTAATGTGAGCCAGGACTTTCAGGCCATCATCCATGCCTGTGAATCAAAATAATTAATAAAATCATTAGCAGAGTTTCAACTTCCAGTGCCAGAAACAGTGAATGCTAAATGATATTCGATGCACACACTCAACATAAATTCCACAGCTCAGTTTTTTGAGGTACACAGGAGTTTGTGAGGCTGGGCTAGAAAAAGAATAGTTATTTGATTTGTAGACAGGAGCAAATTGTATTTGAAAGTATTGGAGTGATGGCACATGGAGTCCTAATTAACAGGCCATTTATATGCTGATTTTTCTAGCCCTAAACAGTCTTGGGGGAAAAAAAAGTCTGCCCAAATCTTATGGGAATTGACAAATGTTAAATAAATGGAATATGTTCTCCAAACAAAGCCTCAGCATCCAATAATTAAAAGCCTGCCTTGACATTTTGAAATTAGAGAGATCTGCTGCATCTCTAAACCTTTAGCAGTTTATTATGCAGATCTACCTCTGCTCAGCTAGCACAGTGCAGCGGTTGTAGATTCCAGCTATCTGTCTTGCTAGGAAAATACACAGGGTGATATTGAAAGTAGAAAGTAGAGATCTGCCTAAGCCATAAACTTCCCATTTACATAGAAATTTCTCTCTCATCTAGGTGTGTTTGGAATGGGAGTTTTGATTCAAAACAACCTCTGTATTATGATGATATATTGCAGTGTTATAGGTGTGCATGCTTAGCAAGTATAAAAGAAGTCACTGTGCGCAAGTCATTTATGCTATAGAAACTAAATTTGTAATTGAATTTAGCTGTACAAGAAGCAGCAGGTTGCTTTGCCAGGACTTGAAAACATACCAAATGAAAGCGCAACTGTGTTATTTCACACATTATGCATTACTAAATCCTTTGACTTGAAAACAAAAATTGCTCCAAGGATGCAAAACAAATATATTTCCAAGCAGTTTCATTATACTGTACCAAATGACCTATGGGATGGGTTCTGGCCCTGACCTATGCAGCCTTTCCATAGTTTCCAGGACTAAATCATCTACCTGGAAAAATCTTCCTTTGACTGTCTCTCAGTTCACCTTTGGGTTACTCCTCTCTCTAGGCACAGCAGGGATACCTGGAAGTCACTCATCTGAAGGCTGAAAGCAAGCATCTCTCCTCAGGATTGACGTGTTGAAGGAAAGGACATAAAAGTAGCTAACACTTCAGCCAGGATGGAACCACAACTCATCACTTCATCTCCACTCTGACATCTCTGTCTTCAGTCTGGGTTCAATATGTTTGTTCCCAGTGGATTTAGTTTATGAAGAACCCATTCTATGAAGCATTTTGTGATGCTGGCTATGACAGCTGTTTCTGTTCAGACTGACACCTGGGGACTAAATCCTCACAATTCAGCATACTTGCCATTGCAGTGGTGTGATACAGTGACACACCAGTCCTTATGACTAGACACTAAGTCCTACAGGGGTCTTTAAGGGTCCACTGACAAGATTCAAGCCAAACTGATTTGCATTATCAGAGAATCATAGAAAATTAGGGTTAGAAGGGGACCTTAGGAGGTCATCTAATCCAACCCCCTGCTCAAACAGGACCACCCCCAGCTAGATCATCCCAGCCAGGGCTTTGTTGAGCCAGGCCTTAAAAACCTCCAAGGGTGGAGATTCCACCACTTCTCAAGGTAACCCATTCCAGTCATTCACCACCTTCCTAGTGAGAAAGTTTTTCCTAATATCCAACCTAAACTTCCCTTCTTGCAACGTGAGACCATAGCTCCTTGTTCTGTCATCTGCCACCACTGAGAACAGTCCAGCTCCATCCTCTTTGGAACCACCCTGCAGGTAGTTAAAGGTTGCTATCTGAAGAGTGGTGACAAAGAGGATTGTGCTGCTGCTGCTGCTTGGAAATATAGAAAGAAAGCAAGGTAGAGTTGCACCTTATAGATTAAGCAAAGTAGATAGATATATATAGCACATACTTTTGTGGCCTGAAGCTCACTTCATCACATGCTGTGAAAGGATGCACTTAAAACTGCATGTGAAAAATCTAAAATACAGAAAGAACCGCTAGAGGGCTCCTTTGATA